TAGACACTTTGACCTGGAACGCACTCATCGGCTGGGTGCCCTTCAAACTAGTTTTGCAGCTTCGATTAGCAAAAATCTAGACTTCCCAAACAATTGGTGAACATAGAGTAGTTCTCCAACGCAGTCGATACAATCAAAGATAGACTAGAACGAGAGATATTCAATTTATATAAAAAATACATAACATGGAGAGCTAAAGAAATTGAAAAACTAAAATAGCATTATTAACGTTTAATTTAAAAAATAAATAAATGATAAAAGCAAACAAAAATTCCAAATTCACAGATAGCAAATAGAAATTAAATCAATGAAATTCAAAATTTTGTTTGTGTGATAATTTTTTTTCTAGATAGGTACATAATATTCTTGAAATATTTTTTATTGAAAAGTTTAGATTTAGAAAACTCGAAAGTGCATGATGACAAGAACAATGAATTTGAACCCCTCTGCTTGTTTGTTTGGTTGTGTCTCAAAGATCTTTTGTCCGGGTCATATTTGTCTTGCTCTTAAATAAAATATATTTAATGGAAGAAAGAGTTGTTATTTATCTTCTTTTTTTAGAAAGTGAGTTGTTTTTATCTGGAAACTGTTTTCAAATTTTTTTATTTTAACTTGTTTGGTTTGGAAACTGTTTTCATAATTTTTTATTTTATTTTATTTTATTGAAAGCAGTGATAAGAAAAGGTTGTAAGAATCAAACATTTAGCCAATTACTGATTGAGTACAGGACAAACTTACCGGGTCAAAATCGTGCTCGTTGGTTTCATTTGCTTTTCTCTCTCTCTATATATATACACATATATATAGATATTTTTTAGAATATATTATCAACTAGTATATCACCCGTGTTATGTACGAATTTCATTTACAATTATTTATACATGTGAATTGTGATTTTTAAATGTTTTTATTTTTAATTTTTAAATGTCTTATTTTTTCCCTTTTTTATATTATATTAAAGTTTAATATTTTGATAATAATCATATGTGTTAGAATTTTTAAGAAATTAAATGTCTTTTTTTATTATTATATTATATTAAAGTTTAATATTTTGATAATAATCATATGTGTTAGACTTTTCAAGAAATTTTTTTTATGTTTGTCTTAATGCAATAAAATTTATTAATAGGATATAATCATACATGTTTGGAACTTTTCAAGGAATTCATACGTGTTGGATTTCAAAAAAAAATTTATCTTATTCTTAATGCATTAAAGTGTTATTAGAGTAAGACTTGGGAGTTGCGAGAGAAGTTAATAAATGCTAAGTTTTTTTTTTAAAATAAAAAAATCAAAAAATTTAGATGGGAGATTGAGCTCACAAAGCTTGGGATTAAAAAATTCACATTTCTTTAATAATATAATAGATATATAGATAGATAAATATATAGATATTTATATTTGTTTTAGATTTTTTTTAATAACAAATTATTTTTTAGATAGATAGATTTAATAAAAATTATATTGTTTTAGATATATTTTAATATACAAATTATATATTTTTTTATTTTTTATAAAAATAATTTAACAATCATATCACTAACTATAGTGTATGGAAGAAATTGAAAATGTGCAACAGTAGATATGAGAGAAGTCAAAAAAGGCTTGGGGGTTGGAAGGAAGTCAATAAAAGCTGAAATTTTTTTTTTTTTAATAAAAAATTAAGAAATTGAGATTGGAATATTAGAGCTCCCACGAGGCTTATGGGTTAGAGAACTCCATTTTCCTTAATAAAGTGGATTAGCCCATCACCCGTGCTATGCACGGGATAATTATAGATATTTATATTTGTTTTAAATTTTTTTTAATATATAAATTATGTTTTTTAAGATTTTTTATAAAAATAATTTAACAATCTTATCGCTAACCATAGTGTATGAGAGAAGTTGAAAAGGGTACTGCAGTAATTATGCACGGGTCGTATCTATAATTATTTGTATGAGGAGATTTTAAATGTTGATCAGTAGATTTTGACCAAATCAATAAATGCAGGCATGTGGAAAGACATGTGGATTGGAAAAAGTTAATAAATACTAAATTTACCCTTCAAATTTAGAGTTCTTATTTCAATAATTCGTGTCACTTTTTAATTTTTAATATATTTTTAGTTATTTAAATAGTAACTTTGAAAAATTAAATATTTTTTACTAAAAGTTAACATTTTACTAAAAGACTTTTCAAATAGGACTAATATTTTAGAACATCCTAAAATAGTAAAAAAGATTAACAATATCAGACAAAAGAATACTTGACAAATTATTTCTCAAAATTTTATTATATTATATTAAAGTTTACAATTTTGATAATATTCATATGTGTTGGACTTTTCAATAATTTTTTTTTTATGCTTGTTCTTAATACATTTATGTGTTATTATAAAGGATAATAATTATATGTGTTGAGACTTTTCAATGAATTTATATGTGTTGGATTTCAAAAAAAAAAATTTATGGTTGTTCTTAATGTATTAAAGTGTTGTTATGAGGATAAGACTTGGGAGTTGAGAGAAGTTAATAAATGCTAAGATTTTTTTTGTTTTTAAATAAAAAAATCAGGAAATTTAGATTGGGAGATTGGAGCTCCCACAAGGCTTGAGGTTAAAAATCCCATTTTGCTTCATATATAGTATAGATAATCATATGTGTTGGACTTTTCAAAAAATTAAATGTCTTTTTTTTTATTATATTATATTAAAGTTTAATATTTTGATAATAATCATATGTGTTGGACTTTTCAAGAATTTTTTTTATACTTATTCTTAATACATTTATGTGTTATTATAAGGGATAATAATCACATATGTTGGGACTTTTCAATGAATTCATATGTGTTGGATTTCAAATAATTTTTTTTTTATGATTGTTCTTAATGCATTAAAGTGTTATTATGAGGATAAGACTTGGGAGTTGAGAGAAGTTAATAAATGCTAAGATTTTTTTTTTTTAAAATCAAAAAATCAGGAAATTTAGATTGGGAGATTGGAGCTTCCACAAAACTTGGGGTTAAAAATCCCCTTTTACTTAATATATAGTATAGATAGATAGATGTATATATACATCAAAAGCACAATACACGAGTATTCAATAAATGTATTCATGCATTCATCCTTATTTTGATTATTGAAACTCCCACAGGCCTTCAGGGTTAAAAACCCCATTTTGCTTAATATATAGTATAGATAGATAGATAGATGTATATATACATACAAAGCACAATACACGAGTATTCAATAAATGTATTCATGCATTCATCCTTATTTTGATTATGAAAAGATTTGAATAAATATAGAAAATAACAACACAAAAGATTTACTTAAACTAATGCCATCACATTATCATTTCCAGAATCACCGCCACTACTAGAAAACTGACCTTTTGCTACTATATAATTTGCGACCATCTGATTAGCCGTCGCAAATAATCAATTTACCCCTTTGTTTTCTTCTATTTATTTTCCCTTTTTCTTTATACTTGCCCTAGCCCCTCCACAAACACCGATTGTTCTCTCTCTCGCTCTCTCTCTCTATCGGTCTCACAGTAATACGACTGGTATGAATCTCTCTCTCTCTCTCTCCCCCTCAATCTCGCTTTCTCTCTTTCTCTCAATCTCGTGCTCTCTCTCCTTTGATCTTCTCAAATTAGCACCTCTACTACACATGTATATGTACCTCTATATATTATGTATATGTTGTGAATATCAATGTTTGAAATTGAATTTATTCTGTTGAGGTCCGAGCAAGAATCGAAGTAGACGTCCTCAACTTCCTCAAGATCTTGAACTCTTCGACTCCGACAATCTCATATTTCTTTGGTTTGCAATTTTGCTTCAAATCTCTACTCTCGAAATGTGTATATATATATATATATATATATTATGAAGAACATTACTAAAATTTTGTTGATAAGAGATAAAAGTAGTAATACTGGAAAATAGAGTTGGGGATCAAGTGTTCAGAAGTTCGCATTTCTGTTTTTCTCATGGAACTTGAAGTTGGAATTGGACACAACCAGAAGTAATTTTGTTCTTATGGGGTGCGATCTCTCCTCTTTTTTTTTTGGTTGTGTAAAGTGTAAACTATTATTATGATGTTCGTGACCCTTATTCATTGAGTGGAAAATGCATAAAGTTAAATGCATTTTTTTTAATGTATAGTCAATGCATGAAAAATCAAGGATAAAGGTGGTTTTAAGAGTGAAGGAAGTGTTAAACGGCTAAAAAATCTTCATCTACATATGGGGTATAAAGATAAGGAGGTAGCTGGAAGGACTTGCATTGACAATCCTTTCTAGATCTGAACCTGAGTGGAGTGCAGTTGGGGACATAATGAAACTGGAAGAAGTGAGCTGTCTAAAATGTATTAAATTAGTAAGGATGTGCTTTGCATACTTTCTGCTACTGGCATGTATCACAGGGCATGTTTGGTAGTGTATGGGGGATTGGGCTTCAATAAAACTGTGTCACATGGACACTTCTAGTTTCTCTAAAGTTTTGAGACGGATAAGAGTGTGGATATGTGTCCGGCAAGCATACCCAATGGAGACACTTCTCTAATTTTTTACAATGTTTAGAGAAGAAGAAGCTCACATTTGTTAGTAAAAGAACATTTCTAGTCTTTCACATGGATGAAAGATAGAAATTTTATATTTTTCCTAAATCAAAATCTTATCTAATTTCAAGTACATTTTTTTATAATTTACAACACCTTACCTAAGAATAAAATATGCAAGATTTGTGTATCCATGACGCGTATCCCTGCCCATCTCCAACTTTAGGATACATATCCCAATATCTTAAGAATTACATTTATGAAGGTTTGACGCTTTCACTCACCTGCACCCAAATAGTCTTACATAGTATGTCATCCTTCAAAATGATGTTGTACAATTGGAAAGTGTTTATTTGGTTTATTCATTCAGATGCCTGGAGAATAATATGTTGTATTTGTAGATAGAAACTTGATATAAGTGGCTTTTAAACTTTTTATTTGTTGGTTTACTTAAATTGGTCCTTATTTTTATGTTCTAACCATCAGGTACACTGCATTTTCCGAGCTGTTGCCTCTTCTGGCAGCAGGCACCACTCCTTTGTTGAAGGTTGAAAGGATTTGCCAAGTAATTAACACTAGAAGCCTTGAGATAGAGAACTATATCACATTCTCCAGCCCTTTTGCCACTTTTTCCTCCAGTACCATTGCCAGCTTTGAAGTTCGAACTCCTTCAAGAATACACGTACTCCTGATCACAAGCATTAGCAATTGAACGTAATTTTTTCACGCAGCTCCTTCACTAGGTGACCCACCCATAATGAAAATGGATATAACGAATAAAAATGAAAAATCATATTTATGATTAGAGCATGGGAATCAATTAAATTCTATAGTTGGCTAACCCAAAAGATCTTTTAGGGGTGATGCGTAATTGATGGGAAGTAACAGGCTTGGACGAACTATATAATTAGAATGGTAAATTACATTTTTCACCCTCCAAATTTCACCTAAATTTCATGTTGATCTCTTGCGTTCTGATTGTAATGAAGTCCTCAGACTTCAACTTGTGTCTCAATTTGGTCCTCCCGTCGCCCCTACCTTTCAAAATTTGAGTGAAAGTCTAAACATAAGAGACTAAAATAGAGTTTGAAGTGTAAATTTTCATAAAACAATTTCTTGTAATGCGCCCAAACGTGCTCACGTTATTGCTTTATGTTCAAACTTTTAATTGTGAGTGATGGGAGGACTACATTGAGACACAAGTTGAATTAATGAAGACTTAATTGTTGCAATTAGAAGATGAGGGACCAAAGTGAAATTGGAGGGTGAAAAGTTTAATTTGCACACATTCTCTGGTAAATTCTGGAATGAAAATGGGTGGGAGAATGCACATTAGACTGTGTTGTAGCATATCATTAATTTTGAATTATTGGAAAATTTGGCAATTTGTTTAGCTACATTATTATCTAGCATTGGAGAATGATTCTAAAATGTTTCTATTACGTCCACAAATTTGCAGGTTGAATTTAAGGAAGGGATCGTGCAGCCCCCAAAGGTCAAGTCGAGCATTGATTTGCCAGGGTATCTTGATATTTTTGGGCAGAGAATCGACTTGTCTCCTGTGCAGCAAGCTCTTAATCCTCTGCAAGAGGTGGTGGCGAATGTAGCTCGTACTATTTCTGGTCAGTCTCCTCTTAAGGTTCCCATTCCAGGCGAGCGAACAAAATCGTGGCTTCTTACTACGTACCTCGACAAGGATCTTCGCATCTCAAGAGGAGATGGTGGCCTTTTTGTGCTTGCTAAAGAAGGGAGTCCTCTTCTATATCAGTAACCGACGGATTGTGATTTCTAAAATAGGTATATTTATATTTATTATTACCCGTTTGTGTTGTTGTGTTTTTGTATATCCATGATTAAAGAATTACTTCTTTTCTTTCGAACCAACAAGAAGAAAATAGAGATTCAAGTTGTCTTGATCTTGTTCTTAATGTTCTTTTGGTTTTGATACAACAAAGTCAATATATAGATGATCAAATTTGATTTTTTTTCCTCTTTCCTAGGCTGACATATGCTTTTATTATTTCTCTTTTCTCAAATTGTGTTTAAGATGGTTATAGATGTATGTGGTGAATGATGTGCCCATTCATGTGATTAGATATTATTTGTGTTCTTTGTTATGTAACGAGTATGTTGCTGCAACTTCTTGCTTATAGGTTAGTAAAAAGTTTTTTTTTTCCAGAGTTAGCTATTGGCTTTGAGGATCCTCGTGTGCAACTGCATATTGCTGATGGTATGTGGAAAAGATGTTCTAATTATTTTTTACATGCAGTTTAGTGAATATGTGCATCTGAAATCTTATTATCCATTTTATATGGATCCATTAATCTAGGTTATTAATAATTTTACGTAATTAACGCCCCTAATTGTATAGCTGATTATATAGCTAGACTTTCTTGTTGATCTTCTTTTCATTTTTGTGGCAGCTGTTGAATTTTTACGGAATGTACCTAAAGGAAAGTATGATGCAATTATTGTTGATTCATCAGACCCTGCAGGTATGTTTGTAATTCAAACTTTCTACCTGTTTTCCGTTTTCCTATTTATTTGCCTGTGTTACAGTGCTTTTCAGAATGTTACTTAACAAATGCTTCATGATCTCAAACTATGCGGGAAAAAAAAAAAAAAAAAATTTGATTGACAGTTGTCTTAGTTTTTCTTTTATATTTCTAGTCCTTGAAATTTAGGACCATATGTATTCACAATATGGAAGGTTATCTGAGTTTTCTCTTGATTTTTCTGCTATTTGGAATATAGGCACATGATTATGCATATGGGTAGATGTTATATAATTTCGAACGCCATGATTAAGTGATCCCATAGTTAAGCCTGTAGTTGCTTTCAAGGTAATTGAAACCCTTGTTGCAAATCACTGATCTGCCATAGAGATAGGTCATTGACATAGTTTTATTTTGATTATTTTAAGCTAAACTAACACATTTAAGCGCATTAAATTTTCAAGTCAAGTTTGATATATGTTTTTGCAGATTTTGTTGAGGGAATAGTTGATATGATCGAGCGGTTGATGCTGGGAGCCAAAGATTATGTTGCTCTTCTTCTTCTTCTTTTCTTTTTTTTCTTTTTTTTTTTTTTTTTTTGAAGACTTGAATTTTTTTGTACAGTGTATTTAAGGATGGTTAATGGATATTATAAATTTAATTAATTTGTTAATTTTGTTATTTTCATTTACAAAAAATTGTTTGGTGGTTGAAATTGATTTTTTTGTTGTAGGAAATCCATATATGATTTTTTTTTAATAAATAATTATTTGTGACAGCAAAACAATGGTCGCTAAAAGTGCTTTTAATTTTTTAAATTTTTTTGCGACGGCAAAATGGCTGTCGCAAAAACTAGTTTGGGCAGTCGCAAATTATTTGCGACCGTTGTTTTGCCGTCGCAAAAAGTATTTGCCACCCCCACATTTGCGTCCCTCATGTGCGGTCGCATGGGCCGTCGCAAAAAGTCTTTTGCGACTGTATTTGTATTATTTGCGACGGCATGTGACGGTCGCAAAAAGTGTTTTTTTTAGTAGTGAGCTGCACATTAGCTTATGTAATTTTAGTTATAGTATGCATTTGAGATTCTACTCTTACGTGCTATATTGACAGGAAGTTCCTTAGCTTTCAGGTTGATAACTTGGAATTTCTGAGGCAAATGAGGATCAACCCAATAAAGGTTGGTTTTTTTAATTTGGCACTAGATTACATTAGTAGTTCTATTATACATATTATAGTTCCCGCAATCCCTCTTGTTTCACTTGTTTTTGTTCTGATAACCAGAATTTTGGTTATATTTTCTAGTCTTTCTTATGTTCATCTGACATAGAATAATTATGTGTGATAGTGAAATAATTCATCTTTGTTGCTTGTGACATTTTGGTTGGCATCAATTATAGGTTGCCAAAGCATTAGTGGAAGTGTTTGCTGAAAAGATCTTGATGAATATGGGTGCAAGGTGTTATGCCAGTTCATTGATAGAGTGGAGAAACACCCGAGCAAGAAAATTGATGAGAAGATTGGCCAGTTCTGGATTGTATTTTTTTCATAAAAGAACTTTTTTCAAGTTTTTAGTTGTAATAACTTTTACATGTAGCTCAAATTTTGAGACTCAAATAGAATGTTCAATAAAACTATAATGCTATACTGTCTGAATTCTTGTCATTGTTATTCCTAGAGTGCTTAACGCTACACTTTCATTTATTTATTTTTATTTTTATTTTTAATTTTTTGCGACGGTAACAAGATGGTCGTCAAAGATCATGTTAGTGTTTTTCTTTGTTTTTTGCGACGGAAAAATAATGGTCGACATAAGTAGTTTAGGCGGTGGCGAATGATTTGCGACCGTTGCTTTGCCGTCGTAAAAGGGATTTGCCACCCCCACATTCGCAACCCCCATTTGCCGTCGCAAAAGGTCTTTTGCGATTGTTTTTTTATTATTTGCGACGGTTTATAGTGGTCGCAAAAAGTGATTTTTTTAGTAATGAGTGTAGCACTTATCTTCGCACAGTACGTTACTCCGCACAGAACAAAGATCAATGGATCCATGACAAACAGAGGACCACAAAGTGACTAAACAGAGGCCAATGGTTATTTAAGTCCCCCAAGGCATAGGACTCCCGTGGTGGTACTTATAAAACATAATTGTATATAAGGTTATAGTTAAATATTTTTTAAAATATAAATAAACATATCCATGAGTTTCATTTTAATAAATAAGGTTCAGAAATCAATCCACGTAACTGAAATATTTATAATAATTTATAAAACATAACTTATATTAAAACAAATATGGTAAATCAAATATATTAACTTTAATACCTTATTCTTTTTTTTTTCACTACCAAAAACTCTTTCAGCTTCCATTACTTTTTCATCCTTTCTTTCCTTTGTTTCACTCTTCTTTCTTTCTTTCTCTCCTTTCTTTCTTTCTTTGATCCAGCAGAAAATTTGAAGTAAGGAGTCGAGGGAGCTTGTGTAATATTTATAGACTAAAATGAGAGGGAGAGCTTAAAGAAAATGCTTGGTAAAAGATTCCTCGCATGCATGGCCATTGGGGGGTTGTCTACCCAACAAGCACACTTATGACAACCTATTTCTTCACTCAAAGGTAAGAAAATGCTGATTAAGAATGCTAAGAGGGTTGTATTTTTTTGAGATGAATCTTCATATAAGACAAAATCAACCCTTCCCCATGAGGGTTGACTTGGCCGGCCCACTTCTCCCTATTTTATTTTATTTTATTTTATTTTATTGATATATATACACTCATGAATAAGACAATCAAGTGAGGACAAAATTCTAGATTGTCTTTAGAAGCTTCCTTAATCTAATTGTGAGGATTAGTGTTAATTTTATATTATATTAAAGTTTAATATTTTGATAATAATCATATGTGTTAGACTTTTCAAGAAATTAAATGTCTTCTTTTTTATTATATTATATTAAAGTTTAATATTTTGATAATAATCATATGTGTTGGACTTTTTAAGAAATTTTTTTTATACTTGTTCTTAATGCATTAAAGTGTTATTATGAGGGATAATAATCATATGTGTTGGGACTTTTCAAGGAATTCATATGTGTTGGATTACAAAGAATTTTTTTTATGCTTGTTCTTAATATATTAAAGTATTATTATGATGGTAAGACTTTGGAGTTAGGATAAGTTAATAAATGCTGAGATTTTTTTTTTAAATGAAAAAATCAAGAAATTTAGATTGGGAGATTGGAGCTCCCACAAAAATTGGGGTTAAAAACTCCCTTTTACTTAATATATAGTATAGATAGATAGATAGATAGATAGATATGTGTTAGGACTTTTCAAGGAATTCATATGTGTTGGATTTCAAAGAATTTTTTTTATGCTTGTTCTTAATGTATTAAAACGTTATTATGAGGGTAAGGCGTGGGGGTTGGAAAAAGTTAATAAATGTTAAGTTTTTTTTTATTTAAATCAAAAATTCAGGAAAGCAAAAATCTAAATTTAAATGTTTTCTTTTTTTCCTTTTTCATATTATATTAAAGTTTAATATTTTGATAATAATCATATATGTTGGACTTTTCAAAAAATTAAATATCTTTTTTTTATTATATTATATTAAAATTTAATATTTTGATAATAATCATATGTGTTGGATTTTTCAAGAAATTGTTTTTATGCTTGTTCTTAATGCATTAAAGTGTTATTATGAGGGATGATAATTATATGTGTTGGGATTTTTTAATGAATTCATATGTGTGGGATTTCAAAGAATTTTTTTTTATGATTGTTTTTAATGCATTAAAGTGTTATGATGAGGGTAAGACTTGGGGGTTGGGAGAAATTAATAAATGTTAAGATTTTTTTTTTAAATAAAAAAATCAGGAAATTTAAATTGAAAGATTGGAGCTTCCACAAGGCTTAGGGTTAAAAATTCACTTTTGCTTAATATATAGTATAGATAAGTCATAATAGTTAGATTTAATTTTTATCAAATCTTATTGAAAATAAATCCTAGTACAATCATTGCTAAAAGTAATTTTTTGTGACGATTTTTTACATGTCACTAAAAATTGATAATTAGTGACTTTTTTTTGCTACGGTTTTTTATAAATTGTCACTAAGACTTCTAATTAGTGACGTTTTTCTGTGACAAATTTTTGAAACCATCGCTGAAAGTTAAAAATTTGTTACTTTTTATTGTGACGATTTTTTTAAACTATCGCTAAAATTTATAATTAATAACATTTTTTGTGATAAAAATTTTAAATTGTCATTAAAAATTAACAACTAGTAACATTTTTTAATAGTGTATGATATGATTTTTTACATATGTCCCTAAAATTTGGTAATTAGTGACTTTTTTTTGTTACGATTTTTATAAATTATCGTTAAAACTTACAATTAATGACGTTTTTCTGTGACAAAATTTTCAAACTATCGCTGAAAGTTAAAATTTAGAGACTTTATTGTGACGATTTTTTTAAACTGTCGCTAAAACTTATAATAAATGATATTTTTTCTGACAAAATTTTTAAACTATAACAAAAAATTAATAATTAATAATATTTTTTAATAATATATAATAAAAAATATCATTAATTATTATAGAATCTATTTGATAATAAATCTACTTAATAAGGCGTCCACGTAAATTTTCCTCGGTTTTAATTGCTATTGTGCTTCAATTCAAGACCAAGGGTTGGCTTCACTTAGGTGGTGGTTTGATAAAACAGAAAAAATTACACGTTGGAAAGTAAATATTGAAATGTAATTAAAGAATAAAATTGTAGTTAAATTTTAAAATAAAAATAATGTGAATTGAGAAATGCTTGATTTGATTTTTAGAAACTTATTTCAGGAAATTATTTTAAAAATTAAAATTAATTTCATATAAGAAATAAAAATAAAAAACACTTATCATTTTTACATAATTTTATCTTTTTGGGAGGCCAGGATTAATTTTTAAATATTTACAATATTTTTTGATATTTATTTAAAAACACTAATTGTTGTTGTATACACAATAGAATTAAATCTTTTAAATACAGTGAAGATTGTCCAACAATCTTAAGACAGAATCCTTTTTGGTATCTTCATTGTATTTAATTTTATGTATTTTCAAACTAATATTGTGGTTGGAAAAACAAATAGTGGTTTATGCTATTTGACAGATAGTAGTAATATACTGTCTCTTTTCTTTGACAACTAGTAGTAATATACTGGTTACTTGGTGTCCATTAACAATTGCAGAATCATTATTTGGTTTACAAGAAAATTATTTTCGGTATTTTATTTTTCTAGTTTATAACAAGGAAAATAAAATTGATATTTATTTTCTAGTATTAGTAACAAAGAAAATGAAAATTATTTGTGTTTTAATGTTATCCCTTCTCTCTGATTCTGGTAATAGAAACAATATTTTGGTGTTTGATTCTAATTTGTAATCTATAGTTTTGTGTATTTTATTTTTCCTAGTTCAGTAACAAGGAAAATAAAATTACAGTATTTTTCTAGATTTTAGTAACAAGAAAATAAAATTGATGTATTTCCACACTGCTGTGTTATTAATTATTCTGGTTTAAGTAATCTAGGAAAAATTAATTTGTGGTTTGCGTTTTCTGATTTTTGTAATCAGTATATTATTTTGGTATTTTTATTTTCACTAGTT